TCCGTCGGCTAGGTCCTGTTCGTCCTACAAATGCCGGCGTCACGAGCAAACATATGTGGAGCGCTGAGTAGAGAGAAGGTCTAATAAAAAAGCAATGGTTAGTTTACGTGGCGCACCTAAATAAAGAGCCGTGGCCATAGTTGTCTGGAAGAAATATTCAGGAATGGATAAAGAGCATTCTCAATTGGTTCCTAGTAGGCACGGAAGGTTCTCATTGCCACAGAAAACATTAGACTCTTCGACATGGAACAGTTCTTCCAACGTACCCTTCTTCGGAGACTCTTCTACGATAATCTGGGGACTTGCTTCTTGAAGCCATCACATCCGCACCCCGTACTTCCTCAAGGTGCAACTCTCTCCAGAATCAAGTCACAACCGGTAGGTCTTATTTCCCATTCTTATCGAAAGGAAGACACTAAAGTAAATAGACCTTTTCAGTCACCAAAAGCCTAGGCTTTCCCGGAAAAATGTATTAAACGGCTACAAACCTAGCTTCGATGCCCACAAGCTGGAAAGGGAAGCAATAGATTGCATGAAGCTTGATGCAGCTCAAGATATGTGCCATTATCGGGGAGAGCCCCATGGGGGAATCCAATCGTTCCTGTTGGATCAGAACTTAACTGACTGCTGCTAGCAGGCAGTAACGGCTAATCTTAATATCTCTTTCCTCAAGCTGATAGACCCAGAAAAGCCGATAATTCTTTTTGCACGACCTGTGAAAATTGAGGGGCGGAAGATATACATGGACGGCAGTATTAAACTTCGTGATGGAAAACTGGGGCTATGATTGATATGACGCGGGCGAGTGCACTATTCATTCATCCAGCATAGGAGTGGGAAGTGGGTAGAAAGTGTTTACAATAGCGTTCGAGTTGGATCATCGAGGGGCAGCACAAGGTTATTAAGTAGAAAAAAGAGGGGGCGTGATATGTGTGAAGAGTGTTGGCACAGAACAGTTACCGATATACCCCAGGCAACATATTTTTGGGATCTTGGAACAATTGATTAAATACCCCCATACCGCGTACAGTTTCTTGATTGACTTCACTTCTCTGTCCTTCTCCCGGGTTCTCTTCATGAGAAGTTCTGAATAGGCCATGACGAGAAGATCCGAGAGTCTCCTGCACTATTCATTATTATGAAATAGATCTCGGTAATAGGTGTGACCGCTTATAAGCACCTCATGGGACCCTCTCTCAATGATTTTGCCCTCTTCCAGCACAAGGATTTCATTAACGTCGCTTAGGAAAGATAGTCGATGGCTGCAGTATGATAAGTCAGAATTGCCAGTATGTGGTAAGAGATGAACATACGTGGTTAACAACATAGTCATTCCCTTCGCTTTCAGAAGCTGCCAAACCCTATCCTGCGCCCTATTGTCTAACTGGCTAGTGGGTTCATCAAGTAGCAAAATAGGGGGTCCACGCAAAAGGACCCGGGCTAGGGCAACAAGCTGCCTCTGCCCACCGGAAAGGTCGACTCCGGGGCCGATAAGAGTGTCATACCCCGCTGGAAATCTGAGGATATGATGATCAAGCCCAAGCTGCTGACACAAACCTTGAACATCTTCCAGATTCATGTCATTTTCAAGACCATATATCAGGTTTTCGCGGATTGATAAGCCGTGAATCAGCCCCGGGTCCTGTGGTACGAAGCCAATATGCGATCTGATTGAACGTTCATTGAGATCCCTTGTATTGTACCCATCGATCTGGATATAACCACGGCTATGCTTTATAAGCTGTGAAATGAGACGCAGGATAGTGGTCTTTCCGGCGCCGTTTCCACCAACGATGGCCACAGCCTGCCCTGGATGAACTTGAAAGGTCACACCGTCGAGAGCCGGGACGCCTTCTTTGTAAGCAAAATACACGCTGTCGAATGAGATGTGGCCTCGGCATTGTGCAAGGGAGTCTCCTGACGAGCTGCGTGGCGTGGAATTTACCAGAGCATTTGACACAATTTCTGCATCAACAGATATCCGAAAGGCCATTACTATGTGCCAAACAGATGTAAAGGAAGCAATAAGGTCTGTCCAATGTTCAGCCAACAGCAACATGTCTTCCGTGCTCACAGCAAATAGGCACAGCACCCGTCCGAATGCTATGGTGGCGTCGAGGACGAGACCCCGGCATGTGATGTACAGGTTAAAGTAGCTCAGTTCGCGATCCTCCTCATTTTTGACGTGACATAGTCTTGCTTGTTCGTCGGGCTGTCTGTTGTTCAGTACAATCAACTCCCAGGAAGATACTTGTCCGCGTAGTACTCTGTCGCGGCTGTCTCTCGCAGCGATGTATCTATTTCGAGGACCGTCAATTCCACGCGCAGCCCCTTGCCATACCGCGGCCCATAAGAAAGCCGTGATCAGCATTATTATAAAAGGCTTGCTCCCAAACTGACCGAGTGTACTATAGCATAGCAGCGCTAGCCTGAGGACCGAAGGAACGAGCTTTAGGGCCGCCAACGCAAATGCGGATTGTAAGTTGGTAGCCGCGGATAGTAATCTACTCGGGTCCCGACCTTGGGGTCCTAACTCACTATCGATAGTCAGATCAAAAGTGAGTTTCACGGCTGCTGTTTGGAGCTGCACTGCGAGTTTGGCCCATATCTCCCTCTCTAGATACGTGAAGATGATAGGGATGGCCAATTCCGACCATAGCAAAAACAGGATCCCTTCTAGCTCGGAGATGTCTACCGGAATGTTAGCTCTAGCTACAAGGTACTGGGCCAACTTACTGTTGTATATGCTTTTATGTAACAGCACCCTAGTTTGGTTCACCGCGTGAGCCGCCAGAATGGGCCTCAAGAAGATACAGACTGATAGAAGTAGCCACTTTAACGTAGAACTGGGGCCATCGTAGACCCAGAGCAGCTTCAATGGAATCTAACCATTTTAGCCTCTTTTAATCTCTCAGCTGCTAATTCATACCTGTTTATGTCCTACTAAGGCTTGGAACATTCGACCAAGTACTTTGCCAGCCCATAGACTGGTTGATGTCAGATTAGGAACGGAGGCTCTATAAAAGGGCTTCCATAATGCAAGTATTGCGATCAAAATCGGTATCACATAGTAGATTTGTGGTGACGTGGCGATCCAAGTGGTCCCAAGGGGAAGGTGAACCTAGAAGTAGTGAGTAACTCCATAGACCAAGAACGAAGGGCGGCGGTACTATTTTGGGCAATAGATGGTTCATATTAGACGACGCTTGTTGAAGGGGAATGAAGGTATTAACAGATTAGGATAGTTGACTCCAAATCTTTTTGGCAGTGGAGCTTGGGTGATCCAGGAAGCGGCGGCCACGCTTATTATATACACTGGCCCCGGTTCCGTACTAATGGCCTATTAGGACGAATTATTTCTAAATCTGTGGCTTTTACTTAAATCCCTCTGGCAGCTAATTATTGCTAGTTAAACGGACGGTTCAATTAATCATACAAAGATACATGTATACCGGCTTTATTGAATGACACGTTCTTTCTCCGGACATTTTAGCGCCGAACGAGCTCCTCGTTCTACTCCCCTTTCTTCTCTTTCTTTGGTAAGAGACGACAACAATAACCCATTTGGCTTTTTGTTAACTATAGTGAAATTCTAGACAGTTAGTTCAGTGGGTCCTAGCAAGTCAAGGTCTAGTACCTACGGGGTTAGAGGAGAGCGCCTTGCTAATACGGCTCTTGAGCATGCGCTCTGTTGATTTTGATGTGTGTTCCAAAAACCAATCATGCAGCTCGTGAATATTTAGTCCTTCAGGCGAATGGAGGAGGCATTTGTAGATAAGCGCGGGATATGTGCCATGGAAGAAAGCCCCTTCTTTAGGCCGTGGGAGCCCACTACAGGAAATTGGGATACCGGAAGGTTGTCCTGTCATTCCTTCCACATCCAAGGGACTCTCTCGCGCATCAGCTGGACAATCTTCTAGGGATAGTCCATCAACTTCACAGTCCTTCCTGAGTTTGACTCAATCACGGGCACCGTCACTCACAAAGAAACGGATCGAGTAAAATTTGAACCCAAACTGATCACTGGGCTAGTATCGTAAGGTAAATCGCGCAGTCTCGTTAGTTAGTGACGGTAATGAATGACCCTACTGATTTATTGAGGTGAAAGATGATTCGACCCATAATAATCGTACCTGTTAACGTACAAGGCCTAATTCATTGGGCTCAACTATGGAACTAGAAATAGTCCGTCAACGTATCGTAAGGCCATGTAATGGCTTTTCGCAAAAGCTATCGTGAAATATTTGGCTCCACGCTCCCTTGTAGCTACAGACTGAATGCGGATACAAAGTCGCCGAATAATGATTACATACCTGAAAGGTTGACGAAGTGAGACATCACTAGAAAGCGAGTCATGGTCAAGTGCGTGGTCTGTCCTTGATTTGGTAAAAATCTGCGTTAAGGCTCTTTGAAGCACGCCTGCGCCTTTCGGCACATACCCAGATGGGCAAAGACCGAATCATACGGCCTGGGGAAGCTGGCACACTGCACCAATGTTCCTGCTGCTTCTTGGGCTAGCGACAAACTAAGGTTCGGACTTAGGGAACTAGTTATAGCCGACGAAAACCGGCGGTGGGAAACACCAGCGTCAGAGTCCATCTCGGTCGCGGCCACCTTCTATGTACCTACCTTGATAGTATCTCCACTCAAAACAAACTAGAGAATCGATGCAATTCTATTCGTTACAGGTGGGGCGCTCTAGCTATACGCCGTTGTTCTTGGTTTTATTGGGCGTTTTGTTTTGCCTAAGGACCATCGCAATCCACATGCGTTACAGTAGTCCTTTTTCCCGCTGGGACCTCTCCTCCACAAAGGCGTGCTTTGGGTCTTACAGGATGCGCATCCATCCTTTAGTGGTTCCTCCTTTCTGCTGAGCTGTGTGGAAAGCAAGCAAGAAGACGAAGTCTCGGTACTCTGGCCTACTGGCCCCATCTTCGTATTTTCTCCACTGTCAAGGTCTAACAAAAGTCATGTCAACCGAGGATGGCGACAGTTCAAGCCTTATATACGTACCTGCTTGAGGGTGTTCAAGTCCGATTCGCCACGCATCAATAATGGTGTATATCAATGTGCGTTCGTTTTCGTTAAATGATGAGCGTATCTGGTCAACGGACCCTTTCAATTTGTCGAAATGGACGTGATTCAGAATCGACTTCAGAGCCGCCTCGTAGTCTGCCAAACACTGAGATTTTTTTTCTTTGAGCTTGGTAGTCGTGGTTCCTACCGGATTTCGTGTCCAGGTTGGATTTCTCTGTCGTGAACGCCAAATCACCAGCGAAACGATCGAGGAGATACCCTGTGAGAGCCTGGCAAGTGTTTTCGGGCAGAAGTATAAATAATAGTTTGCGATAGAGCCCAGTGTGGTGCGTCCTGCTGAATAGTGTGCGGTTCCTTTCAGGCCCGTGAATCTGGTCTTTCCAAACGGTTTGCCCCCCCTTTACATCTCTCGGTGCACTCGGCGCAACTCGACAATGACGATTACGGGCTTCCTTAACATGATATGCCTGTACACCTGGTATCTAGATTCAAGTAAGCTGCTGAGCTTCGTAGGCATGCACACCACTTACAATAGACCCGTAGTTGCTAGCACGTTCACAACAGAAACAACAAAGCAATATGGGATACAGATCATTGTTGATGGCCTTTTGCTGGATGACAAGAGGCAGGAAATCTCTGCGGCATATAGCACACAAGAACTGATCTAGGAAGTTGCACTTCCGGAGAGAATCATTTGCTGGATAATCGTTACACAGCTAGTCCGGCCCTATGACATCCTTGACAGATGTAATAATCTCAGGTTTCACGGCCGAACTGGTGCTGACAATTTTATACCCGGTATACCCCATATGTTCATCGCACGAGAGGAGATGTTCGAATGAGCTAGTCTCCGTCATGATTTGAGGCTTTGAGCACGCTAGTTTGTCAGGTGACCTTGCAGGGAAAAGAGATGTCGCCGCGGATATACACTAGAAATAAACCCTTACTACTAAGGTAGGACCCTTTTTAGTGTAGCGGTATTTTTTCTGCCACAAGAGAGAAAAGGTTAAGGAGGTATATGCCATAAACAGTACAAAGGAGGTCAGTATTTTTATAATGGACCATTCCGAGTTTAAAGGCGTCTTCAACGTAGATGCCTTCTAACAATTCTGTTCTGGAATGTTGTTGTTCATGACCGAGAACCAGTAGATTGTTTTGATACAGCAATACAAGAAACCCTCTCTAAACCATTACATACAATCCCATATCGTACATTGCAGTGAGGGCCAACACTTATACGCCATTGTCGAATTTTCCTTCTTGTCTCATATATCTTCTTACTGGAACCTGATAGAGTCCCTCCCCAATTCTCTGACCATGTGTTTCTCTGATGGGCGTTTCATCTGGTTGTAGGCGGTGGTGGTGGTGCGCCTGGCTTTTTGACTCTCGTAGTGTCATATGAACCTCGTCCCATGTCGAACACGCATAGATGATCGACTGATGCTCTAACGGGATCAATATTTCGCGGTCAAGTGTTCGTTACTTCAAGGAACCTTTACTTACTATGTGTTCAAGTGGAGAAATATGTTCCAAAAAATAAAAGAAAAAGAGAGAGAGAGCATGCAGGGGTAGATGTCTCCTTTCTTTTGCACCTTCGCCCAGCACGTATTAAAGCAACACGCAATACAAAGTGAGGACAAATTCATAGCGACAATGAGCGGGAAATAATCCCTCTTACCCGAGGGCGCAGTACTTCGTGGAGCTCTAGACCGGTTGAAAGCCGGGTCATCTTATTGCTGGCCTTGTGCATGGCTTGGAACTAACAGACAGATCCAGCCTTAGGTATGGTAGCATAACTGCAGGCTACTGTCCCTACCTAGCCAGTGGGTTTTCTCATCACAATGGATCTGTCACACAGCTAGCCAGAATCAGGCGGGGGGGGCGGAGGGCAGCCTGTTTGCGAGGCCTTTATCAGTGGCACTGAAAGTAACAGTATCAAACGCTGTATCGGGCTTTCTCTTGGTCCATATAATCTCGTTCAGGACAAGACTGATCGTAAAAGTCTCGTGGGATTGACTGAGAATAACAATCCAATGTGCCCTACAGTGTGTAGTTGGGACAAGCTGGAGAGAGATAGAAAATTCTGGCATACGTAGTAGGCGAATTGAAAACAAATCCGGAAGTGAAGTATCAGCAATTCCTATCCAGCCAATACTCTCGGATTGGCTGATATACTGGCTTCAAGGAGTAGCAAGTCACAGCAATCAACACCAATATAAACCAGAAAATAATAACAACGATTGTAATGCTGAGGAGGCTATCCCCCATTATAACAATGATAACTGAATTGGAAGTGGTGGGATCTTGTAGGTACCAACAGCGAAATCGTCGTTTTAAAATATCCGTTCGCCCAGATTGAATTGTTAATACAAACAGGGACTACCGGCGGAAAGAGTGGCTTACTGTATAGAGTCTTCTCACTTTCTCGGGCGAAATCACCAACTTGGAGAGTTGTAAACCGCCACGGTGTTTGAGTGGAAATCTTAGGTTTATGACAATTGCACGAAAGCAAGTTTAATCAGTCTTGGACCAAGCCAGTCCCACTTTGATGTGCTTTCTCTCTTGGCTATAGCTAGGTAACCAGATACATATGCTAGGATTCCGTTCCATCTGCAGCCATTATCCCGCATGAGCCCGCGTAAATTGATATGAGACATTACCTGGCGATGGCGATTACGCAGCCCCGCCAGGGGAATGTTCTTGGACTCACTAGTTGCAGATGCAGCAAACCCCGAGTCATCCTCCAGCCGACACCTCTTGAGAATACGTATCTTTTCAATACAACGTAATACACCAGAAGTGGGTCTAGTAACACAAGGTCTCCTTGCTCGTCCTGAAATAGAAAGCCTCCACACTGCGTTTGTGCATATAATTGGGGAAAGGGTCCAAGCGTGATTCTGGGGGGCAGGCCTAAAATAAGGTAACTGTTATTGGATGCCAGATCGAGCCAACCATCCCTATTATCGACCGTCTTTAATTGGTTAATTCACTGCTTAGGCAACACGCAATCGATCGAGCACCATGCTCTGCTGAAACCGCCACTCCTCCCTTGGAACTCGTACGCGAACGGCTTGCGTTCAATTAATCTCATCTAGTTCCTGGCGGGTCTGCTTGACAAATACGAAGCGATGACCAAGCCTCTTTGGGCCAGTATAATGCACGTTCTGTGTACAATCTGTCCCTAAAGCATTTATAGTTGGATTTTCTCAGTTTACTGAAGTCCCTTAAGGTTGCGGGAGGGTGGGTGCCATAAAATGGGAATAGATTAGTTATTCAGATTCTCCGTTCATCTATGGCGCGGGATTGATATTTGGATACTAGTCATAGTATTAGCTCCATCTTTAACTTCGTAACGAAGCTCGTGCATTCTGGTCCCAAGTACATCATGTCCAAACCACAAACACAGATATCACGAGGACGTACATACAAAACTCCGACCGGTTGAGACACAACGGGCGGCCGGCCTTCTTAAACTGTCGGGTCTTCAATTGTGTTGGGTGATTTACAGGCCAGGACTATGAGACCTGCGGATAAGGCTGACTGACGACTGACCCATACTGACTGGCCCAGACTGACCTTCCTATTGCCAATTATGGCGGGCTCACCGACATGAAGCACCGTGTAAAGGGCCGAACAGAAATTGAACGGGGTGAACGTTTCTTTGTATGTGCGCAGAAGGGTGTATATCCCAAACTACCTACTTTGTTAGCAGAGATCTGGCGATGGTTGTTCTGTTCTACTCATACACCTTCATACAACATGTCCCGAATTGGGGCGAGGGGGATATCAATATCCACAGTTGATAGAAGAATGCCAGGGTTGTCTGAATGGCTCTCTCCTGGCATGGATGACGGGAGCGTTCCGTTTAACCAGTTTTCAAGTAGTGGCAGAAGAGCACGTATTCTGATTTCTACTTCACCAAGTGGTCGGGCCCACCTAAAGGAGGTCGGTCCCATACTGAGAAGCACTTTCTCGGGGGTGCACTCATATTTATGACCACGCGGCTCGCGGTCGCAATGCGCGAGAGCGGTATATAATACAGGTTGACGGAGAGCAGATTCATGGTCGTATAAAAAGTTAGCTAGTTGGCGCAGTTAGATTCAGGATACTGAGCGCAAGCCAAATCCAACATATACTCACAAGCGTGTGAAGCAGTAGTGTCTGTGCCGGGCGCGATCGTGTCATCAGGTTTCTTAGAGTCCTGACCATGATGTTCTAGTACATACTGCAGATCAAAACATTTATTATCAAATGGCAACTCTTCTGCAGGAATAGAAGCCCCAAGTGCCGCTTGATAGGATAAATGAAACCTCTTAAAATCGGTTCTTCTCATGCTGAGGCCCTCATGGGTATCATCTTTCTTTTTCCGAAAGTGATCATATAAGGAATCTGGGCGAGGGAAGCCTTTGAGGCATATCGGGCAGAGGTATCTAACGGATGTTTGTTGTACAATCCTTTGAAGAGTGACAACTTTCTTTTCTAACTCCGGCATCCTCAAGTCCTCTGTGATCTCTTTTGCGGAGACTGGCAAATGGAGGAATACCCCGCACCGACGATTAAGAGAATTTGACCGCCCTTTGGTGGCCTCGGTCTCCACTTTCGACAGTACGTGGTGTGGTGTAAGCTTAGGATAGAATGTGGTGCTCGTCAGCTAGGCCAGTAGTCACTACTTTTCTTTTCTCTCCACGTCTTTTGAAGATAGTACCGGTCGTCCATGGCCGTGCTAAAGTGAACATGGGAATTAGCTTTTGAGATAGTCTATAAAAGAGAACGATTTACTTACTGGAAACTATATTGTCTGGGGGCTCTCGTCATCTTTTCCATAATGTTCGACTATGAACCCATACTCAAAGCATTTGGCGCCGAATGGGAGCTGCGATGAAGGGATAGAAGCCCTTAGAGCTTCTTGGTAGCAGGATAAAAACCGGTCGAAGTCGACTCTGCCCATTGCAAGCCCATCATGTATTTCGTCACTGGTTCGTCGAAAATGTTCGTATAGGACGGCTGAACGGGGAAAGCCTTTGAGACACTGGGGGCATAAAAATCTAATCTTGGAATGTTCAATAACTCTTAGAAGAGTGCGGTTTTGCATTTGCAGGCTGGCCATTTTGCACAGCGAAGTTGTAAAAGCAGAGGCGCCTTGTGCCCTTTTCCTTGCGGGCATCAAGGGGTCTACAGTACTCCTATACCTATGCAAAGAACAGCCCGTTTCTCCATTGCTGGTCTAGGCTCCGGCACGTCTAAGGGGAAACTACCGGTTTTTTTTTTTTTTTTTTTTTTTTTTTTTTTTTTTTTTTCAGAAGTGAGAAAAATCTGTTCTGTTTTGTTACTCTGGAGAACCGACCTCTATTGCAGGACATGGAGCGGCCTAACTGATCCTGGCCGGGGTACTCGTATGTAAGCTTCAATGCCAAGCGAATCCATGCTGAGAAATATTGACCCATTCATCTTGTGACAACAGGAATCCCAGTTTCCATCGTATGTAGTAGTAGTGAAGATAGAGAAAAAGAACAACAGATCTGGAGAGAATCATGGGTTGCAATCGAGGGTAAACCGTTGTTTTTTAAAGACCCATTGGCGAGATAAGTTGAGAACTGTCCCGTATGCTATAAAGCAAATCCTCATGTTGCTAGCCGGATACTGTAGACCATAGTAGGTCAAGGACCGATTAGCCCTTCAGCGGAGGTTTCCCCGAGTTGCCCGTCCGCCTAGTCTGCGACACCCATCTAGCCAGATACGGCCGCAAGTGGGATAGAGGGCCTAGTGGGAAAAACGGCAGGCCAGAGGTCTTACCCGCTCACCTAGTAAAGAGGGTACAAAGCGAGCAAGAGCACGCTGAACATCAAGTGGGCCTAAGTGCAATTCGAGATGGCAGGTCGGTCACTAGTCCATCTACGTATAGGTTAAGGCCTAGCTTGTCTAGACCCCTGTAAACATATGCCTAGTTTTTGCATTTTCTTTTTGCCCGTTTCTAAATTGCGAGTGCTGGGACTGGGTCCTGTGAATATGGGTATGGATCGGGGCAAAGCGGAAATGCCCACTGTGTATCCACCATTATCGTCATTCACGGTGGTGGTTGCTCTCACTGGGCGTTTTTGAACCGCTCGTTCCCCCTTTCTCGCGCAAAGAAGTCGGCATTATATTTTGCTGGCCTTTCTCGTTTATCATTACTGGGACTGTTGTTCAATTGACTGGTCACCTAGCGCGGCGACAGATTTCTCATCTTCTGTATCTTTGACACCTTCTCCCCATAACGAACAAAAGAGCCTACCGTGCATGGACCCCGGGTGAGGAGACCAACCTTCCGTCGTGGGTGGAGGAACATTTAGACTTGTCCTGGAAGGAGAGGGCCCACCGATATTCAGCCACCTACAAACCCAGATCAGATGAATCCTTGCGGTCAAAGCTGGGGCAGTTGACGAAAGGGATCAAGCGACACCGTCCAACCAACACAAGGGGATCAAGCTTGAGGAGCAATACGGCGAGGACTGCGAAGGCGGCCCGGAAGCAACGGTGTAGGGAAACTTCCTCCCTTTCTGTCTGCTTGCCGCAAATGCACAGTGAGCAGGAGGGGGATGGGGCGTCGGGACAGGCCGGCCCCGTCTTCCGCTCACGGCAAGACAGTTATACATCACCGCAATTATGCGCCGATGGCCGCCTCTCGCAATACAAACAAACAATAATGACGCGGCATGTCGGCCAGAAGAATCGCTCCAGTCGGTTCTATGGTAAGCTCTTCACCATCTAGCTACGCAGGACAATGATAACAGTCCATCCGGGAATAGGTACAAAAGAGCTGGGTTGGCATCAGCCCTCGTTTCTGACATCACCGCGCAAGATGGCACTGTTATGGAAGCTGCTCTACCGCATGGCAAACCGTACACTGCAATGACCGGGCTACACATGAGATGTTGAATGATGAAAGTGGGGTCCGTGCTAGCACAATAGTCGGCCTAGATGACCATTCTTGTATCTAATTTGCACAAAGCACAGATAATTACAGTAGTGCCCTAGTGGGCAGCTCATGTCCACTAAAGCCATCTTCCTCCATGTATCCACACCACATCGGCTGGAGCGTTCAACAGGACGACAGCATAACATTACTCGAACCACCTACCGCTAGATTTTGGTACGGCCATGGCCTCCTGCCTATATATACAGGCATCCTTCATCTCCCGTCTCCCATCTCAGCTTTGTCACCTCGCATGGTAACTATAGGAAAACCTTACTTAATACGCATCATGTCGTTCCCGGTGTCGTACCCAGAAACATCACTCATACAGCCCGTCCCCCGGAGACAAGACACTCCTATAATTTCCGACGCGTTTGAGTCGTCTTGGGGATCTTCGTCGTCCTCAGCAGGCTGTCCATGCTGCGCCACGCCACCGATGCCAAATCCGGCCCCACCGACCAATATAAGCCCCAGTATTGAATTGGGCTCGGGCTCTTTCGCTGCCCTTGAGGATCAATTCACGAAAACTCTGACAATTCAGTCGACCAGTCCATTCCATGCTCAGGCTGTGGCCGCGGTTCTAAACGACCGGCGAGCCGCAGGTCACCGGCTCCTCGTCGAGCTCCTCTGCCACCGAGCATTTGACACATTCGGCGCTCAGAACAGCATCCGCAAGTTCAGCACTTCCTATCATCAACGCTTTGTTCCGGGTGACACCTTGTTTATCATCGTTCGTCGAGTGAACCAAGGGTGGCTGACCTGGCTCGAGGCGGACATCACCCGCGCCGATATGTTGGTTGCTACTACAACCGGTCTTTATGATGGCCCACTTCTACAACCTGACGACTTACGGCGGGAGCCTGATGGTCTTGCACATGGCTTTGGGGGTTTGACAACCTTTTATGCTCCCGATCAGAGCGCAAATGAAACCGTTTAGGGACCACGACTGTCCTATCGCGCGCTCAAAATTGGCTTATATGATGCGAAATGGTTCCAAATATGCAAGATGCCACCGGAATGGCATCAATCTCTATGCGTTGGTCGGAGGTGCATTCTCAATGCACCGTTCGATTAGATCAAATCCTATCTGGGCGAACTCGAAGACACACTCTACAGCCAAGGTGGGGTGCGGGTACATACTGTAGCAAATATGGTTACAGTCCTCTATTCATCTTGTATGAACATGCTAGTTTGCGCCTGAGGTGGGGAAAAGACAAAATACAACAATGGCACAGAGGATAAAGAGTCTCACGTCTATCATGGAGACTCGAAGCGCAAGCCAGATGTAATACTGCCCATGGTCCCTAGCGACCTCAAGTGGTCCCTGCTGCCAACGATCTTGGATGTCGACCTTTGCCCCACTGTCATGAAGTAGATATTCCACAGCCCTTCCGTTACCGTGATAGGCAGCCCACCAGAGAGGTGTGCGTCCGTAATCGTCTGACACATTGACATTGATGTCTCGGTGTGTAAGCAGGAGGTTAATCAGCGTGGCCGACCCCCATCGCACAGCATGGTGAAGAGAGGTGGACCCATCCTCACCAATCGCATCAACCCGGATGCCACTTCGTGCCAACAGACATCGGGCCGCCCACTCGTGCCCGTTATTGGTTGCCCACCACAAGGCGGTGCGGCCTCGATGGTCGCGACGATTGATGTCGAGACTGTGCGAAAGAAGCTCCCGGACAATAGATTCATGTCCTTCTGCGGCTGCATAGATAAGAGCCGTAAATCCATCTGCATCCTGTGCATTTATATCGATGTCGAAGTCCGACAGCAGTATCTGCAGGATATGGAGACACCCTGTCTCGGCAGCATGATGAAGTGGGTTGCCGCCACAGGAACAGCAGACCGTCACATCGAACCTTTCGTCAGACATGAGGCGCTGGGCAAGACATAGGTACTCGGCTCTCATAGCGCCAAAAAAAGGCGCTGGCGTATTTTTATACCGGAAGTTGGGGTCGGTTCGGCGATCGGCAAGAAGGGTCTCCACCATCTCCCTAGAATGACGGGTAACGGCGTAGGTGAGCGGTGTCGTGAATTCCCCTCGGTAGAGAAAAACGATATTGGCATCAACATTGTCGCTACAGAGCAGGCCTTGCACAACCGAAGGGTGACCGTTCTCTATCCCCCTCCACAACGCCCTCATCCCCTGTTTGTGTTGTTTCATATCAAGATGTGGATTCGATAGGAGTCTCGCGATGATGCCGGAAAAGCCCAGGGAGGCGGCATCAACTAGCGGGGTATTTCCCCGATGCACTGTATTGATATCGACCCCGGAGCTGAGCAACATCTCAATGAGGTCGAGCGCTGTATGCCGAACGGCCCAATGCAGAGGGGGGACTCTCCGCCGGGCAATGTCTTCCAGGCATAACTCCCAATTCAACTTGTTGGACAGGGTCAGATTCATTTGGAGGACGGATAGGGATTCACGATTATCGTGACTCGTTGCACGAAAGGTAAGGTGCAAGATAAATAGAAGGAGGTGTGGTGGTACTCCATCCTTGCCGAACTGAGTTGCAGATTGGATCACCACTGCTCTTTGGGGGGCCATTGTGAGAAGGGAACAGATATAGTTGAATGGAAATATATCTAATTTGATAACTCGGTGAACGTGATTGTGTAAGGGAGCTTGGGCAGCGTGCCACGTCCTTTATGTGCTTCGAGAGCACGGTTATACGAAGCAACGCATACATGCCATGACGTTTTCTGGTAGCGCCCGAGTGAAGGGACCTAAGTAATTTTCCAAATTGTTATAGACTTTTCCGACCTCCGGCGCTCCCAGGTATCCATATATCTCTCCCCAGAGCTAGCCTACGGGCTCACCGGAGCGCGCTTCGCTCCTTTTATTCGCCAGCGTCTTCCGATTTGCCAGGATTCTCATCCCATAGGACACTTAAATTGAGCCAAACTGGTCCAGTGAGGAGGCTGTAGCTCGCTACAGCTACTTCTACTGGCATCTCCATTCACGCCAAATCCAGCAATGACAATGCTTACACGACTCGGTTCGGAAACCCCTGACGGCGGGATTGCCATCGGCCCGAAGCTAGTTCCCGCTCGGCACACAAGAGCACCACCAACTCAATAGTTAACTTGCGATGGGTTGATATCTCTCGTTTTTGGTTCCCCTTGTTTTCGACCACGAGATGCGGTGGAAAGAGCATGTTCAGCAAGCCATTAAACGGGCCACCAAAGTGACTATCGCAATGACTGGGCTACGGTATCTACGCCCAGAGCAGATGCGACAGATCTATCAAGCATGTGTGACACCAATCGTGGACTACGCGTCGACGGTCTGGCATAACCCCCTACGGGATAAAACGCACCTACGACACCTGAACACAGTGCAAAGAATCGCCCTAATTCGGATCCTGTCGGCGTTTAGGACAGTGGCAACCGCAACCCTAGAGGTGGAAGCACACATCCTTCCAACACACCTACGCCTCCGTCACCGAGCCCAGAATACTATCGCAAACCTCCACACTCTTCCTCGCCATCACCCCATCTGGAGCGCGCTCTCACGAGCCCAAAAACGGAGAAATAATACCGCAACATTCGCTCGATTCCCACTAGCGGAAGCACTCAAAACCATGGAATTAGATAGATTGAATAGCTTGGAGATTATCGACCCATGCCCACTACCGCCTTGGCGGTCGGAACCTTTTACAGAGATTGAGATAGGACCAAACCGAGAATCGGCTCGGGAGCGAGCGGAAGCCACGTGGACCACATCAGACATTATGGTTTTCTCAGATGGATCTGAACGCGAAGGCCACCTTGGTGCTGCGACGGTGGCACTCGACAGCAACCTAAAGATCATCGAATCCCGACAGGTCCAAGTGGGACCAACGGATTGTTGGTCCGTCCATGTAGCCGAGCTTATTGGCATCTTCTATGCTATCAGCATAGTATTCAAGATCGCCCACCATCATTTGAGAAGCTTGGCAGGCAGGCAAATAAAAGCAACAATCCTTTGCGACTGCAGATCAGCTCTGCAGGCAATTCAAAGTGCGAGGAATCAGTCTGGACAACGGATCGTTCACGCGATCCTCCAGGCCGCCACCGAAATCCAAGCTAAGGGAATTGCGCTCCGCCTCCAGTGGGTACCAGGGCATTGCAATAACCCAGGGAATGACGCTGCAGATCGACTCGCTAAAAACGCTGCGCACCCTGGGAAAACCCATTCTTTCTGCCCGTTACTCTCGAGGGAGAGAGCGCGTATTCAAAACGCCATCTTCGCTCAGTGGGAGCAGGAATGGATATCATCTAGTAAAGGCAACCACCTAAGGAAGATGGATAACACCTTACCGGCGAGCTACACCAGAAAGCTGTACGGCAGTCTAATCAGGAACCAGGCATACCTGTTAACACAGTTGCGCACAGGCCATAATTGGCTAGCTAGCCACGCCAAAATCTTTGGCTTCCGCGAGGACGACCGGTGCGCGTGCGGTGCACAAGAAACAGTTACCCACATCCTAGTGGACTGTCCAAGGTTGTCGGAACTGCGAAGGAAGTTGAGGAGAGAAGTAGGAGACGCATTTAATGCCGTCTCGAGTCTGCTGGGAGGCTCAACCGAAGGTAAGAAAGGTAATACAGACATCATCTCGCGGGCTAGAACAGTTAAGGCTGTGCTAGACTTTGCTGAGGCGTCACAACGGTTTCGGAGTCGTGCGCCAGAGGGGCAGCCTAACACAGGGAACGGCAATTAGGCCATAATAGGCCGTGACGAGGCTCTAAGTTCGTTTTTAGGAAGTGGTACGATTTACATGTACATACAAGTCTATATATAGTTGTAGTAGCCTGCATATCGCTTACTTTGCGAGGGGTCGGGGTAAATGAAATCATACTCACAGGCTCAATGTAGATTGTAGATCTTTGAATACAAAGTAATAACTGACGGAATATGCCGAACTCGAAGCAAAGTGCCATGCCAGGCCAATGGGCAAGGTCGCTTTTATAATGTATCGCCAGCAAAGAATAGCCGACCCTTATTATCAGCCGTAAAAGAACTTGACGGTCACTAGTAATATAGCTTTGACTCTTCAGAACGGTCGGTTTTTTTCTAGGATCATCTAAATTTCTGGAGCCTTAGCCTATTCTTGAGAACTTGAAACTTGGCTACTCTGCGGACATAGAGGGGATCATCATGGCCAGTAAAGCGACCGGGAAATTCCCAATGGGGACTGTAGCACTAGGATACACCAGGTAGGCCGAATGTAACAGGATTCTTCCACGCCGTGCTGCCCGATTCTGTCCATCATCTACGGGCCGGGCCAGAGAAGGTCGATGGCCGTGAAACCTATCTCGTAGGGGCGGGGGCGGGGAGCCCAAATACCCACAAGCAGCCGAGGTGAACTCATTGACGCAATCCGCGCGCATGCCCTGTTTATGCAGCCGAAACCTGGACCGCTGAAAGATCCAAGGAGATAAGAGACGAATAGAATCGGATACAAAAAGTCAAATATTTATTACTGGATGCTATTTCTCTCGTAGGAGTTTGCCTCGCGTTGGGCCTATGTGGTCTAAAAGGATAATTAGGCCGTGGATCACACTCTATATCAATACAGCCTTCCTGTAGTCTTATCATCGGATGGTTTAGATTCCATCCTTCCCCCGGTGATTGAGGTTGTCAAACTATGATGATCCGTAGTAGTCAGGCCGTCTCCTGGATCTACCAGACCGGCGGAGACCTTGCGACCCAGCCCCTTCCGTTGAAGCGATCTCCCCTGGGCTAGTGACGGAGTCATCAACACCGCCAATTCCATTCTCTGTTTCCCTTGTCGTCACAGCGACGGAATAATGAGCATCAAACCGGCGAACCCCGCGGCTGTGAATGTGTCAGCAAGACAATATATTCACGAAAGGGCAACAGGAAGAGGAACCTACCATATTGGGCAGTTGAAGTTGATCTGAGTTGAGCGTTTTTCGAGCCAGTCTCCCATGCATCCTAAGTGCACGCTATTCTCACAGTGCTCGCATTTCAAATTAGCGATTTCGTCTGCAGACTCCTGCCAGCAGATATTGCACATTATTCTGCCGCTGTCATCCTTCGGCTCCAGTGAACGGAGGATCACTGGCGTGCGGGTGTTGTCGGCATTTGCGGTCCCAAACTTGATCCGCCCTTGGGAAGATGGCATCACCTCGAATTGGTCTGGCCTTTGCCTCAGCTGCTCAATATGGATGGACTGAGGCTCAGTCGAGGGAGGTTCAACCTCCATGGGAGTCACTGGCGTCGAAGTTGAATTCCTTGGGTTTGGTGACGAGAGAATTTGCCGGACTTCCGTGCGTACAGCGACCGGACGTTGAAGCCCGACGCCTGAATCGTGAGCACTATCGTACCAGTGCTCAACTAGCGGCTGCACTTGTTCGTCCTCCTGGTCTCGGTGGTATCTTCTGCATAGTAGGAGCCTGGCAATCTTGCTCAGTTTCTGGACGAGGCTGTCATCCGGAGGTCGCTGCGCCAAAAGCTGCAGGATATGAGCAGCTTCGGAGCGAGATTCCCTTGAGATGCGGTTTTTGCATCTCGTCTTGGCCCGAGTCTTCCCACAACAAGTGGTCGTGTCCTCTGGGTTGCTCATCGTACACACCCGGATCGGATCCCACACTCCATCCATTGTGATTGCGCTCCAGGGGACACACGGGGGGTTAATAAGAGAGTAAGGCGGGGGATCTGTCCTGCGGCATAGGTTAGTACCGGCCACCTTTGTTGTGAGACGGTAAAACGTGCGAACATACCCTATGAGTGAATGGTGATCTCGGCCGTCGCTTTTGCACGCGGTCAATGTCGAGCCTGTTCATGTTGTGATACGAAAGAATGGTGAACTTATATAACCTGAGCAAGCAACGGTGACGAATAATCGGGATGTGTCACCGGCTCTCCGGAAACCGATAAATAGATCGCAGGAGCGAGCATGTTCCTGGGAGCCATATATCGGCTCAGTGGAATGTTGCGACTGCTCTCGGGGTATAGATTGAGTGTCTTGGGGTACCATGAGTTCCTGTGAGAGAGAAGTGCCTTCTTGCGTTTGCCCAGCCTATGGTGGATTTCTTTGGCGCCTACAATAGCCGGTTCTTATGCAAATTGGTCCAACATAAAATGGCACTCCAGCACGCTACGCCATGCTCTAAAAAACCATCGCTCCTGTGGCCGAATATTCGAGCTTTGAATCATGCCCTCTGTGCGGCAATTTCTCAACCCGATTGATCCTTTACACCATGAACGATGTATCCCTTCCTCACCTGATGGTGTATGTCCGGGGTATATCGACTTCACCAAGCGGGACTTTGCGAAAACAGAGCTGTCCTTGGCGAAACAGGCGTCAAACCCGGAAAGCCGGGCGAAAGGCTTCAAGAACGCAGCCAAGCTGATGATATGCGACCGCCATAAGGATACCTTAAGAGAGGCTCGAAGGGTTGCGCATCAGTGGGAAGAGGAAGCAGCACAGAATTCCAACGCTACCATGCATCCGTCGCCAGCAAGCAACTCTCGTCATACGATCAGTCTCTATGAGGACCAATATTTATCGGCTCTATGACTAAAAGCTGTACGCGCCATTCAGCGGTCATCTAAATTCCAATGACCCTGTTACCCCACCACATCTAATTTAAAGTCCATGACCGGTTCGCCTCGATCAGCCCTTCTTACTTCTTCCACCGAACATCAGCGCTTCATCAAGCAAGAGTCTACCACATTTATACGTCGTCATTGTTTAATCATTGTTTACTGGCCACCTTTGAATTAAGCCAGGTGTGCTGAGGCCTTGGGCATAGGATCACCGAAAGGCATTGCGATCGATCGAAAACCTACAACATAGCCCGACATTTCTGGTGCTTCTTTCTACGACGGTCATGGCCAAGCTATATTATTACAATGTCATGGGCGCGGTTCAAGTTTGAAGAGTCTTGCGGGGCGTTTGGGATGGACGTACAGCGGCATTCCTCTATCAGGATACCGGGCGATTTGGCCAATCAGATAGTCTATTGAGGTGGCAAACCGAGCAGAGAGCTTTTCTATTATTCCCATGTATACTGTAAATAGCTCACGTAGCAGGTGGGAATAAACTGGACGCGGATAAATCTGTTACCATTTACTTGGTATAAATGCACTAGCTTAAAGGGCGATCATGTTTCGCGACCGGTTTCACTTTTACCCGATCTATGTAAGACAAAATTCTGAGTATACTCTATATAGCCGCTGGTTTTTAAATTTATGCCTGATAGAGAAGCCTGTTCGAGATACAAAAAGAGCTGAGCGTTCGTGGCTTTTTACAACCTCTCTTTGAGAGAGTTAATTCATCACGTATGGTACGTATTCTAGAGGATAGGCAAGCAACATAGTAAGTATAACAGGTTTTTTCATAAAAAGACTCGCATCCTTCCATCTTCCGCCTAGAGCCTTCTCTCCACCGTGCGAATATGTACCGCCGTACGAGCGTAATTTCCGACTAAGCCGCAGTACTAGCGATTTCTGAACTCAGATCAGACATACCAACTAGCATGCTTTAATTTGTTTGGCAGGCTATTTGGGCGATGGAGCATGTGAGCGCCGTCGGCGTTCATATTCCATATCCGCGTCCCTCCCCGTTTGGTATGCTAAGGATTGTGGCTCAAGTTGCTCCCTGTTCTTCGGGAGTGCCGGTCGAGGTAACCCGCTCTCTTCTAGAGCGACCTGGAGCCGTAAGGATAGCCATCGTGTACGACAGAAACACCTCGGCCGCTTCATGCTTTAAGGGCAAATTTTGGCAGCTAGGTCGATTCGTTAGCGGGATAGTAGGAGCAGCAGCAGAAGTGTGTGAATGAGAATCGGAGTCAGAGTTGACCATTAACTGTCGCCCAGCTAAATAACTTGGTAATCGTTATCATACAGAATCAAGGGGGGGATGCTTATTAGTAGATAAAGCCCCATGAAGGAAAGTGGTCAGTTTTGTGCGTCAGGCTCCTTGCTCTTATCCTACCGGCTGGAGGATTTAACTAGGCAATACGTCATTCTCCGGCCTAGAATTCCCATATCAGCAGTAATGGGTATCGCTGCGTTCCCCGTTTTCACCCCTTTTAGCTGGCCTTTCGCGGCCCTCAAATTTATCTTTAATCGTTTTCATTACTCGACCAATACATCTTTATGAATTCACCAAGCGCCTTAGATGACCGGTGAGTGCCAACGGCCTCTTAATGTCATAGTGTGATATTAGACGAACATGGATCTGGAGGCCCTTCTACCTGCAGCGGAGGTGCTCATGGTTTCCTTTATAACACTGGTAGCGTTCTCCCGATGCCAGCATCCCTTCTACGTCTATCGAAAACTGAGCATCGTGCGGTATGAAAGCGACGCCCTTTTGCCAGGAACGTCTCCCTAAATGCAAGCCTCAATCTAGTCCTGCTGATAACGACAGGGGTGTGCTCTGCGACAGAACATAGCATTCATGCTCATCATAATTCTCCAGCTGGAGGCCATCAACGACGAGAAAATGACATCGGCGGGGTGTAGTGGATGTTCATTCTATGGCATATCTACATCATGAGGAATGAGGTTCTATACAAGGACTTTGATGGTCGCTGGATCGCAGGTCATGGATTTACATCACACGTGCTTTAAGACCCAATTGCCACGCTTCTATGCGAAACTTGCAATATTTGGCCCCAGTAGACCCGTATTTCTGTTATTGGGGGCTTCGCTGATCACCCGGATATGCAGATGCGTGGCTGCTCACTACCGAAGATCTGCGAGGATTGTATGGTAGTCATCAGAATTCCGCGTGCGGTTTGCTCTCCCAATCGGGGGAGAAGCTGGAAAGCTCCCTGCGGCATCCATCTCTGGGTAGCGAGGTACTCTTAACCCATGGCGGACCGACAACGCAATGGTTAGGAGCATTTGTGTCTGTCATGAAGGCCATTAGCAAGAAACAGCGGGCAGGACGGGACATACTACCTCTTGGGATAAAGCCCAAGCGCGACATAACACCCCTATTGCCGCAATGGTTAGCAGCAGACCGGAGAAACCAAACATGCCATAGACTGCATAAACGAGACGTCGTTGAGATTGGGAGTTCTCGACAGTGTGTTGGGCCAAACGGAGGTAACCGGCGGCGACACTCATATAATCCGCGGCGGAGAGAATCGGCGTGGCGTAATGGGCCGGGTCATAAGCCAAGTGACTGATGACGATGACCGCCACTTTAGTAATATAAAGAGCGCATAGCAAGGCATAAAATATCCTGGCTCCAGACAAGGGCTGTGGTACACCAGAGAAGACGAAGCGTAGCCGAAGATGCTAAGAGTTCATTAGTGATGATTTGTGAATGTACCCTACCTGTCCTCGTGCATACTCACTTCCAGAAGCGGAGGGCAAAAGCCCGCTATAAATGTTATGATCTCTGCACCTGACACAGAATTGTCAGTGGTGGCCCCCTATAGCTTTAATTGATGATAACTCAACTGAGCGCATGATACTGGCTCCAACGGAGCACTACCACTGCAGCGAGGAAGGCCACAAGCATCGCTGAAGATATGGCGTCTAGGCATCGATAGAACGGGTGCTGTTGGAACGTGCGACTAGAGAGCACGGCACGGGTCGTCGCCAAAAACAACAGTATCGTAGCTAAGACGGCATGAACGGTATTTGGAAGAGCCATCTGCGGTGAAGTGAGTTACGAACTCTGTCAACTGACTACCGAGTAGACTCTGATTTTACTTTTCTGAACCAGGGCCTCCTTTATATCCGCCATTTGTCTCGACTGACTTTTATCCTAGAATAGCTAGTGTTACTGTACTTTCATCATTCTGTCACACTTTGCTAATATAGCTTAGTCTCGCTCATTCCTAACGCTAGTTCCCTTGAGCATTGCGCGTAGCATACTGAAAATACACCATAGGGCTCTCGGAGATCTTGGGATCTATCTGTCAACTCACAGGAACAATAGGAGTTGTTACCGGACAAATAAGCAGCCACACAGTCCATCGGTCCATCACTGAGCATCTACAGTGGATCAAGGGAATTTCTGATGGTGTCCTTCGGTAGCGTCTCCATGCGTTGTGCGATGGCAAACATTTAGATACTAGTTACAAGCAGTAAATCAAATATGTCACAGATCTTTTCAGGGAGAGATAGAAACCAAAAATCATCTCCTCCTACGCTTACCCCGAATGAAAAGCTCCTCTGATCCAAATGAAGGCAGCTCTGACGAGGAGTTTCTGGTAGCACCTGGTTTCACGACTATAGGGCCATCCATACCATCCATATCCTGGCTGAACAAGCCGCTGAAGAAGGAGGGCAATAGGCTTACTACGAGAGCCAAAGAACATCACTCGAAGGACGAAGAACCGCATAAAACCAGAAATTATCTGGGCCAGGATAATCCCTATTCTGCGGATCCTTCAAATCACGCCCCCAACGGGAATGAACAAACTGTTCGGTAAATGCCAATAATACTCCGTTGTATGCATTCCCTAACAAAAGCCCCGCCGGTCTAAGCGATAGACTCCATGATGATATTTTAGTTCCTAGAAGGCATTCTAGTAGACCGGCTAGTAGACCGGCTAGTAGAGCGGTTACGCGCTCACATGTCAGCGCGTATATCGATTTTACTACTGATGCGCCAAAGCTGAGACACCAGCTTAAACAAGCGAGAGGTCGACAACGCTTGCTGGGTCAGATGAGCCAACAGTGCAGTGGGGAGTACAGGGCACTTTCTCGCGAGATAGAAGAGCTCTTGGCTCTGATCTCTCCCGCTCAACCCATGCAACAGCCGAGAAAGATAAGACGATTGAGGAAACAGCTCCAATCTCGATTCTATTGCAAGGTCTAGCTCCTTAACATGGTTTCTATACTTATGGAGACTCCTGCGGGGCCTGTCCTCTGTTTTGTGGCCTGAAGGTAGCGGACCGGGTTCTAGATGGTTAACGGTTCCAAATTGAGCTTGTGATATGTACTGCAGGTTGATGGAATATTGTACCTATTTGCTGGATGGTCAATAGACTGTAAAGGCAGAGCTCCATCTGCGATAAGCTGAGAGTGTGTGTATGTTTTGTATGTAGTTCACCGGGGTCACAGCATCTCCTGATCCATACATGTTTTTCTCTCGCTCGGAAACATCTCGCCCGCGGGTTGGGAAAGAGGCCCCTCAGTTTCTTGTCTATCATTTTCCTAAATCCCAGCCATCCTGCCGCAGGTCAGGGTCGAAAGACGATCGAGTAAGATGGACCAGACCAGCCGCATTAATACCCATTGGGCCTGCTTACTCCAACTTCCCTGTTGAAGGCATCAAGTTGAGGGCTCCCAGAAGGCGCCGCAGACAGGATACAAATACACCTGTGCTCCTCAGGCTATTACCCCGACTAGTAGAATGTCCCCAGCGGCATCCCTCTGGTACGACTATATCGCCCACATGCCGCAGACCGACTGGTATGGAATATGCACTACAACCGGCCTGGTAAGTTGGCTCGTACGGTGACTCCTTGGCTACTCGCCCCCGAGACCATTCTGTCACTCCGATATGCTCACATTCAACAGGGCTCCATGGCCACACTTCCGCTCAGTGAG